AAAAATAAAGAAAGAATTAAATATTGACAGGAGGGAAGGCCTGAACATACAACCATGTTTTTAGTTGACTATTAAAAGTGCCCAGCGTAGGGGCCGCACGAATAACCGGAGGAAGGTTATTCCAGAGACGAGGAGCCACCACTGAGAAGGCCCGGTTTCGTGTCCTTTCCTTCCGGGCCTCCCTCGGCGTTAGGCTCCTCAGCCTCACCTCCTGGCTCGTGCGGGTGATCTGAGTAGATCTAGTTGGGAGCAGGCGTTCCACCAAGTATCGGGGTCCTAAACCATTTAGGGCCTTATATGTAAGCATTAACACTTTGAAGTCAATGCAGAAACGGATGGGGTTTCATTACTAGGAAGCCATTGGAGGATGTGGAATGGGAGAGAGAAAACTTTAATTACCAAAAATACAGTGGTACCTCGCTAAACGATGACCCCGCTAAATGTCGAATCCGCATAACGATGACTTTTTGCGATCGCTATAGCAATTCGCAAAACAGTCATTCCAATGGGGGATTTTCGCTGCACATCGATTAGGTCCGTGCTTCGCGAACCATTTGTTCGCAAGACAATTTTTTCAGCTTTGCAAAATGGCTGCCCTCTGTTTTCCGGACCCATGCTTCGCAGGACAGCCATTTTTACAGCAGATCAGCGCTCGCAAAATGGATTCCCTATTGGCGATCTTCGCTGGACGATGAGGTATTTTCTCCATTGGAACGCATTAAACCAGGTTTCAATGCATTCCAGTAGGGAAAGAGTTTTTGAATGACGACAGTTTCGCTAAACGATTTTCACGGGACGGATTATCCTCGTCATGCGGGGCACCGCTGTAGCCCTCACGGAGAAATCAAAGACTCCACGTACAGCCCCCCAATACTTCCCAATGATGAAAGGCATTCCATGGGAACCTTGGGACCTTTGAAGGAGAAATTGGAAATGTTTATTCTTGAAAAAAAATTCCTAAATTGAATTTAAGAATCAAAGGTTTTACATAAGTCTTGACTTAAAAAATCCTGATTATTCAGTGAATCTACTCTAGTCGGAACTAACTGTTGGATTTAGCCTACTTTTATTGTTGGGAAAGAATAAGCGCTCAGAGACAGAGTACTGTGGAATGGAAGTGGCTCTCAACTATGTGTTTAATCTTTCATGGCATAAAGTTCTATTATCTAAACAAAATAGCTCTTTGCATACCTTGCTTTCATGATAATCGTTGAAATTTATTTTATAAAGAATCTCCACTACATGGATCCACTACAGGTTCTGTAGGATACCAAATACCATGTGATGCATGGTTAATGTGGAAATGCAGTCCTGAGGACAATTACCCAATCTAACTTTTAGTTAGGCCTCTAGTAGTTGATAAGCATCTGAAGAAACCCAGTCAGTGCATTGCTTTGTGTTGCCAAAAGGGAAAATATATTGTACTGTGATTTATTCTCATTCTCATTTATTCTCGTATGTTGACATTTTCTTTTTACTTCTAGGCCACTTGGAAAAACGTGCTTGTTTAAGCTGTACATCCATGAGACTGATAAATCATATGTAAGTAAGCATATTTACAAATCCATGGGAGCTGCCTCTTCTGACAGTTGACTGATAGCAACTGTGAATGATTTCTGACTAATTATTGATTGTCATTAAGGGCCAGATTGGTTGTAATAGTGCTTTTGCAGCTAAACCCAAGAAAAGGCAAGACAAGTTTCCACATATATGCTTGCCAACAGAAAGGATTCCCCCTCCTAGTGTTCTGTCTTTGAGGATGAAACAAGAGTCCCTCCTTGGAGGTCTGAAGGACTGATGTCTGACAGATTTTGTATTTCTTACTCATTTGGCACTTGCAGTAAGAATTGGTGGAGCCACTCTTCCATTTTATGCTGAGCAAGGAACCACTCAAAAACGGCTAAAAAAGTTGTCCCAACTCTGAATATCTCTGATGTATTTTCCAGAATAAGAATTCCTCCCCTAGCCAGAGGGTGTGATTAGCTTGAGCTGAAATGGTGTGTGAAAAATGCTTGTTTTGTCACAACAAGGAAGAAAGTGTATGAACGACTGCTACCGTTCAGAGGATGGGGGCCAGCGGGGAGAAAAACTTCTTGCCTAGCCGAGAAACATGTCTGCTAAGCATGGCTTACGCAGCAGAGGGGTTGAGGATGTGAGTGTAATGACATCAAGTGTGACTGCAAGTTCAGTGGAAATTTGTATAATGTTATAGTTGTTGTTGTACATTTCTTGTCAGTGAGAGTTTCCATGTGTTGTGATTAAAATGTTTATTTATAGTATCTCTTGTATGGATATTCTAAAATTCAGTCTTTCAGAAAGCCTCTTGACTTATGAATTTGTGGTATTGCATTCATCTATGGCTCAAAATGCTAGGAAATGGCCTGACATTGGCTTGCAGTATTGCACCCATGTTGTCAGCAGGGAAAAGTACAAGAGGGTGCTTTGTTTCATTAGCGGTTGCACAAGCACTAACAGAGCCGCTAGTGCAAGCAGTAGCCTAATGAAATTATGAGTTGTCCATCCACTTGATCAAGTGGTATCAATTTATTGAACTTGATGCTTGTAAAAAGATGTAGAAACTTTGCACTAATTTAAAGATGCCATTAGGTAGTACTCTTATTTTTTGAATTTCAAGTAGTTCAGAATTTGTATCTCATTTCCATTCTTCCCAAGTGCAATAAAAAAGAATAATTAAGAAATATAAACCTGTTCCATAGTTTAATTGATTGGGTTCTTTCTTGGTGCTGAGCTGGAAGAAACTGACGTATATTTAAAAAGACTTTCAACTATCTTGTCAGTGTTTGTGTTTATTCTGAATGCTTAAAAGTGCTAAATTTATCCTTATGAAGCAAAAACAAGACTATCCAGGCAGAAAAAAGGAGGCATCAACAGGTTTTGGGAAATATCATGATTTGGAGAAGTACAAAAAGTTGGGGCATGTGGATTTTGAGGGGTAAGCCTTTTAAAATAGTAAAATGAAGACTGAATGTTCAGGTAGCTTAAAATATTGGCTGATCTTTGAGAGCAAAAAGTTTGGAAAATGTGTTGGAGAAATAAAGATCTAGCATCTTCAAAAAGTGTGTGGTTGACTGAAATTCTGAACCAAAAGCACTCCAACTACAGCATGTTATTGCAGACACAGTTTGTAAAATCCTGTAATTCATTGCATTAGCATTGTATTATTTATATAAAATGGGCCTTTGGCTTCCCTTAGTGAAGGTCCATTCTGGTCTGCAGAGAAGGAAACATCCAGGAATGAGTTAATCCCTTTCTCTGCCCAGTCCAGGCAGCAGGATTGAACCTAGAAGAAAAATCATGCTTCATAAACTCTTCCCATTTTTCCTTCCTCAGCCTAGCCAGGGAGGAAAGAGGAGCTTGATAGGGAAGTTAATCAAAGGTGCCAGTAGATTAAAGCACAGAATACAATAGCCACCAGTCTGGGTGAGTCTGAATGTCTCCCTTCTCCAGAATGGACCATCATGGAGAGTGTCCAATGCCAATGTCCCATTCTCAGTCCGTGGGAAGGAGCCATACAGGAAATGACCTACCCAAACAAGTTATATGTCTATAGGGAGGAAGGTGGTTGACGCTTCAATCAGAAATTATTTGTTGGAGGGCACATCTCTCAAAGGCAGCTGGTGCTGAAGGATATATGTCAATCTTCTGAGTCTTATGAATGCGGAAAGACGCATCCATGTAGTCTCTGCAAATGTATTCCAAAGGAGCATCTGCTAAGAAAGCTACAGAAGTAGGTGTCATTCTTGTGGGATGGGCAGTGATATGGCCAGTCTTAGGGAGGTGAGAGACCTCATATGCTAAAAATATTTAAGTTTTAATCTGCTTGGGGAAGACGCAGTGGGAGATCTTGTTACTCAGATAAGTGGGAAGGAAGGAGATTAAGAGAGAGCTGAATTTCTTGAAGGATGTGGTTCTTTTGATATAAATCTTGAACACCTTTTTGTATTTTATTTATTTATTATTAGATTTTTATCCCGCCCTTCTAGGCTGTGTCTACTCAAGGCGTCTCACATCAGAATCATACATAAAAATAGTTAAAACAATAATTTGAATTGACAATATTAATATTAATCAAGATGGAAAAGTAAACAAAAGGTCAAACAGAAAGTAAAAGTCAAGTATTGACAGGAGGGAAGGCCTGCCTAAAGAGCCAAATTTTTAATTGGCTCTTAAAGACGCCCAGCGAGGGTGTCAGGCAGATCTCTTACGGCAAGTTGTTCCAAAGCCGAGAGGCCACCGCCGAGAAGGCCCGATTTCTTGTTCTTTCTTTTCGGACCTCTCTCAGCGTTAGGCCCCTCAGCCGTCTTTCCTGGCTATAGCGAGTGACTCGGGTAGATCTAGGAGTTCTTCTAACGTCAAGCTTGTGCCACTCAGCCTCCCAGGCCTCCACCACCACCGCCGCCAGGAGGCGAGCTGCCGGACCATCCTGGCCCTGCTCAGCTTCCCAGGCGAGTCCCCTTCACCCGCTAGCCCCACATGCAGGGTGGAGGACAGGCGCTGCCGCCAAACTTTGCCCTGCTGCCGGGGGGGGGGAAGGCTGGCCGGGGGGGAGGGCAGTCTTTACCGACCTTGGAAGGACAGAAGGCTGAGTCAACCTTGAGCCGGCTACCTGGGATTGAACCCCAGGTCATTTGCACAGTTTTAGCTACAGTACAGCAGTTTAACCACCACACCATGAGGCTCACTAAGGCTGGAGAAAGTGTTTTTAAGGGACATGAGTGAAGGCATGCCAATAGGCCTGTAGATATCTTAAGATCTATGGAGGCCATGTAGTCACCAGGTTTGTGTGCCATGAAGCTGTCTCTGAATTTGACATCTGATACAGCCTGTATGAGTTATCTCTCTTGAGGACTACAAACAGAATGGAGTAGACTCCCATGAACCCCTTTAGAAGAGGAACAGGCTCTGCTGCTCCAATCTCGAGGAGTTTATAGTACTCTTACAAAAGAACTGCTAACTTGTTCTTGTTCATTGAGACTAGACAGGGAAGGAGCCCACTCCTGGGAGTCTGGTAAAAATCTACAACATAATCCTCCATGATGGTTTGTAGCACCTCCTGATTGGAAGTGGTCATTTCCCGCAGAGAGAGAAATATGACCTCTGTTCACCGGAAGTGTTAGAGGATGTCAGAAATTTTGCTTGGAGGTTTGGAAAGATCTTGCTGGGCCATTGGTTTGGGCTGGACCTATGGTCAGTGTTGGAAATTAGACTGAAATCTGTATCTGGCCCAAGGAGGATGAAAATTACTGAAATCCGTGGAGCAGGAGAATGTTCATGGGTAATGAAAGGAGGAAAAACGTTGGTTTCTCTTCCATCATCTTTTTTTGGTAAATTTGGCATGGCCTTCTTATTCTTTATATTGCCTCCCTCTTCCTTTTGGGATTCGTTATAAACTCCTGTTTATTTTTAATTTTTTTAATGACATGTATTCTCATTTGATTTCTCATGTTTCTGTTTGCTTCTTTAATTCTATTATTATTATTTATTTATTTAAAATATTTTTACCCTGCCTTTCTCCTTGAAAAGCACCCATGGTGACTTACATTACAAGACAGTATTTTAAGTTGAAAACGATGAGCATACAACAGTGATTAACAACATTAAAATATGATATTTAAAGCTAAGAACAATGAGTATAAAAGTATCTTACGTCATTGAAAGTATTAAAGCTAACAACAGTAAGTATACAACTATTTAAAAAAACAAAAAACAAATACCACTCAGAAATGGAAAACACAAAAATGGAAAAACACAAGTACTACTAAAAATCCAGCCAAAGCAGTAATGCATAGCTATCTAAAAAAATCACACAACAGGTAGCTTGTTACTGAGGGAAAGCTTCTGTAAACGAAAGGTCTTTGCCTGCTTGCGGAAGGTCAGTAAAGATGGAGCCAGCCTGGCCTCCTGTGGAAGGCAGTTCCAAAGTCTGGGAGCAGCAACAGAGAAGGCTCTCTCCTGTGTCCCCATCAGACATATCGGTGAAGGTGGCAGGACTGAGAAAGGCCTCTCCTGATGATCCTAACACTAGAGATGAGGGTATTGGTATTTGAATATCCCCATGCAGCTGGAGTTAACGGGAGTCTGCCTCGCTGGCGGCCTCATCCATCCATCCAATCACTCCTGGAGCCCCGCACTCTTTCTGTTCGGCTAGAGACTCTGCAGCCCTGGAGGGAGACTCATCCTTCCTCTCCTTCCCTGGAGTGCCTAACCGAGCAGGAAGAGAGTGGGGCTCCCGGAGTGATTAGAAGGATGAGCAAGGCCTCTGGCAGATTCATGAGTGGACGGTCATTAACTCCAGCTGCATGGGGATATCTGTATATGAATGCCCCCATGCTTAAGACCCAAGCTGGCTCATAATGGGAGAGATGATCTTTCAGATTGCTTGGGCCCAGGCCATTTAAGGCTTTAGAGGTTAAAACCAGCACTTTGAATTGTGATAACAATTTTTAACATGTTTTCTTGCCTTCTCATGGATACCATCGCAATATGATACCTCTTAAACTTTCTTTTTCCTTCCTTATCCTTCTTCCTTTCAAGCTGTCCCCCAAATTTGTTTTGTATCCTGCATCTCTTAGCAACCAACCTTCCTCCATTTGTCTATCTACAGTTTTCAGAAACATTTTTCTCCATGTTGACTTTAAGCCTGTGACAAGAGTGATATAATTCTGTCTGCCTGCCTATTCAATCCATCTGCTTCCACATAGTTTCTTCATGGTTGTATAACAGTAGAGAGATTACAAGATCAGGTGACAAAGTTGTGGCTCATTATCAAGATATAATTTCCAAATCATAGTCTTGAGGGGGATAGTGAATCCCATTTACTGAATATAAGTAGAAGGTATTGTGTATTTTTCAAAACACTGTAGGATATGTTTGTTACAGAAAGCTGGTAAAGTAAATTTCAGTATGACAATGTTGGGTGAAAAATTTGCAAGTCACATTTTAGTATACTTTTTCTCAGAGAATCTGGTTCAGTAAGCAGGATGCTAGTATGAATGTGGAAGCATATTTCTGTCTCCTCTCAATTATACAAATGTCTGAGTAATTTTTTTCTAAGTCACTGTCTCTACTGTATTGCAATTCACAAAATAGTTTTGACGATCAGTGGGATGAATTTTAAAGTAATCTGCAATGTAAATACTGAATTTCACTTTGTTTTTTTACAGGCAAATTCATTATAAACATTGTATTGGTATCTCTCCTGTTTATTCCGCAAGAGATGGTTATAGCTGGACTGAAGGATCAGAAAAAGGACACTTTACAGTGCTTAGGTCACCTGATTTGTGGCTGATGTCTCCCAATAGAGGTATTTGGGGACCGTATCATTTTCCAGTGCGGAAGTGGCATTCTTCACAATCAAATAATGATGACTCTGTGGTAGAAAAATCCCTGAAGTCTCTCAAGGATAAAAACAAGAAATTAGAAGAAGGAGGCCCTGTATATAGTCCAACCATAGAAGAAAACATAGTCAAAAAGTCTCTTGGACAAAGAATTGTTGATGAGATAAAGCATTATTATCATGGCTTTCGATTGTTATGGATTGATACAAAGATTGCTGCAAGGATGCTCTGGCGTATACTTCATGGCAGCACTTTATCCCGTCGCGAACGGAGACAGGTACTGAACCAGTGGTATTCTTTTTGCTCCATATTCAAATGGAATTTCTTTAACTTGAGCAGTATTTATCAAATACAGTGGTACCTCGCAAGACAATTACCCCTCAAAATGACGAATCTGCATGACGATGAGGTTTTTCGACCACCATTTTGCTTCACAAAACAGTGATTCCTACGGGGGAATTTCTGTGGACGTGCTTCTCTGACCGTTTTTTCACAAGACGACAATTTTTACAGCTGATTGTCAGCTTCGCAAAATGGCTTCCCCAGGGGCGATCTTCGCAAAACGGGTGTTTTCGGGTCCGTTTTTCACAAGACAGCGATTTAAAACAGCTGATCGGCGCTTCGCAAAGCGGCTTCCCTAGGGGCGATTTTCACTGGACAACGATGATTTTTCCCCATTGGAATGCATTAAATGGGTTTCAATGCATTCCAATGGGGAAATGCTTTTCGCAAGACGATGTTTTCACAAGATAGCAATTTCAGTGGCATGAATTAACATCATCTTGCGGGGCACCACTGTACAAGATAGTTGTTGTAGGTTTTCCAGGCTCTTTGTCCATGTTCTTAAGGTTTTTCTTCCTAACGTTTCGCCAGTCTCTGTGGCCAGCATCTTCAGAGGACAGGAGTCAGAACTCTGCTGTGTTCCGACTCTTGTCCTCTCAAGAGCCTGACCACAAAGACTGGTGAAACGTTAGGAAGAAAAATCTTAAAAACATGGCCAAAGAGCCCGGAAAACCCATAATAACCATTGGAACCCAGCCATGAAAGCCTTCGAAAATACAAGATACCTTGCCCTGAATTCAATTAGTAGTACCAAAAAGGGTATGCAAACTGAATATTTCCATGAGTGTTGCTTCACTATTCAGCTGTTGATTCAGTGGATATACTGTAGTTGGGACGACTAGTTAAATTTAGTCTCTTTATTTGTGAAAAGTAACGCTATGTATGCTGTTATTGAAATGTTTTTCCAATAAATACATAATGCAATATTGATATAGAGATCCCTACACATGTGACGGCTTACCGTGCTACCCCAAAAATAAGACAGGTTCTTATATTAAGTTTTGCTCCAAAAATTAAGGGCTTATTTTCAGGGGATTTTTTTTCATGTGCAACAATCTACATTTATTCAAATACAGTCATGTCATCTTCCGGTTGCTACACAATGGTAGAGGGTGGGGTTTCACTTAACTGGGGCTTATTTTGGAGGTTAGGGCTTATATAATGAGCATCCTGAAAAATCACACTAGGCCTTATTTTCAGGTTAGATTTTATTTTCGGGGAAACGGTATAAATCAGTACAAAAGAGATACTTCAGCATATATGAAAATACTACAGAAGGTTATGCAGTCTTAGATGAAAGCAGTTTCTACAGTACAACTCTCCCAACTTATAAACAGATCACTGTAGAACACCTCACTTTTGCAGCCATTCCAGTGTTACCCAGCATTCAAAAATCAGTTTTTGTAGCCTTTCTTGAAACATGAGTGATGGATCCATCAAGATAATGCTAAGTATACTCTATACGTAAGGTGGAGGGAATAAAAATTCAGTAGCAAGTTCTGCTGATTGTTGTGACAATATAGTGGCAGAAGGTGTATGTTAGGATGGCCAAGAAATCAGAAGGAAGTTGGAGTTGAGGCTTGAGAATTATCTGAGAACCAGACTCCTCTGTTAACATTAACTCGCGTGGTAAAATAAGGTTCAGATTACGATAAGTCACTTTCCAACTGTTGGGAAGGAACCAGGTAAGTCATAAATGTAAGGATCTGTTGTATATGCATTAAAATGGATCAAAACAACATGATTTTCAAACAGTTGTCATTGGGGATCAATAAGTTAATCTGAATGGTGGAAAATTTGGGGAAAATCAGATCAGCTATAAATAGTACAGTGGTAAATATAGCATTTGCCTCCTCGGGATGTAGTGATAGCCACCAAGCTGGGTGAGTGTAAAATAACTCATGAAGGATATGATTTGTGGTCCTGACAGCTATATATTGCATCCAGTATTGGAAGTGGCGCGCTTCTGTGTACTAATAGCTCAGAAACTGAATGCAGGAGGGTGTTTAAGCTCACATGTTCAGTTTGTGAGAATAGAAAGCTGGACTAGACAGCTCTTTGACCTGGTCCAACACACACCTTTTCTTGAATTCTAAAGAAAAGAAAAAGGCAGTCTACTGTGGTGAATATTCGTAGAGTTAAATAATTGCACACTTGTTTTAATGTTTTAAACAATTATTTCTAATGTGTCCTTTGCATTGTTGACAAGATGGTGTTTGTTTGGTCCACTTTTCTGTGTATTTGTCACAGTTGCTGTTTTATAGACTTGGAATACAGTGCACTGCCAGTTTTCCATTTATATTTTAAAAGTGCAGCAAGTACAGTAGGATGCAGTGTTGCCTCAAGTGCAATTGTGTGTGTTTTAAAAATTCATACAGTATTAAAGCAGTGGCTGGTCTATATATAGTTCTGATACCAATTCATAGCATTATGATCTAGTGACTCTTGTTCTGACTTTTTAAGAACAAGTGGCACCTCCTTCCATACATCCCAGTGGCTGGATTTTGGCTTCTGCTATTGATAACTACAAGTTAAATCTAAGTGCTGCATCATTTCTTGTTCTTTTTTCCTATCGTTCTTTTCCCATGCCCAAGTTGAAGTAGGCAGCATCCAGAAAAGTTGAAGCATCCAGAAAAGATGCTGGAGTTAAACCTAAGTATGCTTACACCTCAAATATGCATAAAACTCACTATTTAATGATTGAAAAGGTTAACGCTGCACAGATTGGCTTGGATTCTGTCATAGGCCAAAGACAGCTGACATGTATCAGGTTCCTTTTCAATTGGCAACGCTTTCAACATATCCCACACAATTCCCAAGCATTCCTACGTCTTCAAGAATAGGTCCAATTCCATGGACATAGATCTAGTCACAGAAGAGAAATTAGGATGCGAACCAATATTTCACAAGAGTATTTGCAGTACTTCATTTAGGTAGTTGATTAAAACTGTTTAGCAACAAGGTTGCTAAAATTAGAACATTTACTAAGCTGCACTTTATAGTACCAGAACAAATATGTAACTAAGTCTGAAGGAGTACAACAGTTGCAGAACATAATGAGTCCCACTGTGGTCATTCATCCTTTTTGTCATGCTTTTAAAGTAATGTATGCCAAAAGAAATTTGAGAACTTGCTTTATGTTGTCTGTTTTGTTTTCATGATGTGATACTATAACTTTCTTATGTATTTGTTTTCAGTTCCTTCGAATATGTGCTGATCTTTTCCGGTTGGTCCCCTTCCTTGTCTTTCTTGTTGTTCCATTCATGGAATTCCTACTTCCAGTAGCCTTAAAGCTCTTCCCTAATATGCTTCCTTCAACATTTGAGACAAAGTCTAAGAAGGTAACTGTAATGTGGGCAAACTGTTCAATACTTTGTGGTGATTCTCAAAGCTGCAATGTGTATGTATTTTGTGGCCTAAGAGTTCTAGAAGACTTAGTCAGGTTGTTTTGAAGTAAAAAATGGAATGTGTATTTATACTAGGATATCTCTTCTATTTAAATTATGAATTTAGTGAATAATTACAGTTTAGTTCTTGAAGAACTGTAGGCTTAGATGTGTGTTACAGGTCAGATGCATCCGCTTTGTCTTACAGCAAAATCTGTGATACAGAATTGTTACAAGATGGGGGGAAACGACAGTTTAATGTTAATGAATGTTATGGTTCTTAAGAGGAGCTGTAACTGAAATACTTAAAAAAATTATAAATCCTTATTTAACTTCAGTTTAAAACAAATGTATTAAATATAACCCTACCTTGCCAGTTTGCCATTATTTTTAATCTGTATCCTTCATGATTTTAATGGTTTTTAGTGTGTTTAGTTTAACTAATTTTTATGATTTTATGGTGGGAAGGTTATATTCTTTTATTGTCTTTGAGTTAAATGTGATTCTGTCTGTTTTTATTCTTTTTAAAAAACTGCAAGCTGCGTTGAATGCAATCTTGTAGTGGAAAACCTTTACATACATTAGGTGCATTTAGAATTTAATAGATCAATGTTAGTTTATTTTTCAAGTAGAATGCTCTGTGTCCAAAAATGTTATACTCACAGAAGTCAAAGTATGCAGTATGATACATCTTGGTCCCCAGCACCGTTTAAGGACTTATGCATGTGTTTCTGAGCCAGTATTCATCAGGATCAGTGTGATTTAAATTTTAAAAATTGGATTTTGATGTTAAGTAAAAAATAATAATCATTTTTAAAAATCTAAATTTAGAGCAGTATTGATTTTTATCCAGTAAAAATCTGGTATTGGCAGCTATTTTCCTTCCGCTTAATGGGTTGCATCCAGATATGTCCCTTCTTCCAATTTTGGGGAAGGGCAGCACAGATTCAATCTCCAAGGAGGCTTACTGTTGGAAGTGCTGATGATATCGTTCTTATCATTTACTGCTTTGGCTTTGTTATTACCCAGCTGGGTAAGTCCCCTACGGAGGATGAGCCAGAGCCCCATAAAACTGACAAGGGGGAAGACTGCCTCGCAGCCCAGCTAAAATCTGCCAGGGCAAATGCTCTGCTACAGAAAGAAGGCTCCTTAGGGGAGAGCCATCCTCAGACGCAGGGGGTCTCAGAACCTTTCAATTCATTTAAGTTAAGTATTCCCACTGCTGGATGAAGACATCGTCCAGTTTATGCAATATGAATTAATGGAACAGGATTTTAGGAATGAATAGCTTAGCAGTCTAATAATAATTTTGTCTGGAAGAGAAACACTTGCTGAAAACTTGAATTTAAAATTCTGATTGAAGGGAGGATTTGGATTACATTTGTGGAGTTGATCACGATTCCATGACATGGCACAAAAGAAAGAAATAGAAATTGAGCAACAACGTGAGAATTCTTGGAGAAAGTGTGGCATAGATATAATATTATTTTGCCTAAAATGTCATGTAAATGAAACATTTCAGAAAATACAGTAAATACAGTGGGGCCTCGCTAGACAGTTACCCCGCATGACAGTTGTTTTTTTTTTTGTTAGACATTGACTTTTTGCGATCGCTATAGCGATTCGCAAAACAGTGATTCCTATGGGGGAATTTCGCTGGACAGTGTTTGGTCCCTGCTTCGCAAACCAATTTTCACTAGACAGTGATTTTGACAGCTCCATCCACACTAGCAAGACGGGTGTTTTCGGGATCTAGGCTTCGCAAGACAGCTATTTAAACATCTGATCGGCGGTTCGCAAAGCCATTTTCCTATGGCTGATCTTCTCTAGACAACGACGATTCTTCCCCATTGGAACGCATTAAACAGGTTTCAGTGCATTCCAATGGGGAAATGCTTTTCGCTAGACAATGATTTCGCTAAACAGCGATTTCAGTGGAATGGATTATCATCGTCTAGCGAGGCACCACTGTAAATTCTATATCTGTAGCCCCAGAGGAATTTGTGATTTCTAATTAGTGTGTAGTTATTTTTATTAGGCTGATAACAGAGGACCATTTACCTAGCAGTCCTCCGCCCCCTTTTGAGGGGGAAATTATAAATACCACACATGTCTGTTTGCTTTTTCCTGCTGTCTTGGGAGGCTTGATAGAAAATGCTGTTGGTGCTTTGCAGTTCTGGCAGCAGACAACGCCCTCTAGGAGCTATTAGTGGAAACTAGAAATTCTTTTGTATGGAACTCTTAACATTAACATCTATAGTAAGCTAAGGAAAGTTAGCTTTTGCTGATCAGATTTTTATTACTGAAGTTGCTATGACCAAGGTATCTTAATACACTAGCTGAAATCTTGTTGCTTAGAGTAGTAAGTTGCACTAGAGTAGGCCCATTGAATCTGGGATTTAGGAAGTCAACTTCATGTATTCCATTGATTCGGTTGGGTCTACCGTAGTTGGCTTAAGTTAGTCACAACTAGGGTAGACCCATTTAAATCAGTGGAATGTATGAAGGAATTGGCTCACCAGATTTCCAGTGATTCAGAGTTTGGCATACTGTGCTAAACAACAGGATTTCAGCCACTGAGTTGCCTACAAGATCTTAAAAGTAGGAAAGAATGCACATGGTTCTGAATCAGAAATCTACTATTATTTTTAAAAAGCTGCTGAGAATGTATCCTGAACATAAACAGTTAAATTGGTGGGACTCACTTGAGTGGGCATATAAAAACTGGAAAAGTTGATGATGTAACTTGTTACCAAGAGCTACATGGTTCAGTATGATTTTTTTGAATAGTTTAATACTGTATGAATTCAGAATAATTCAAGATGAAAATTCAAAACTTCTATGGCAAAACCAGGAGTAATTTCTATTAAATTAAAAATGTTTTTATAGGAAGAGAGATTGAAAAAAGAACTAAGAGTGAAGCTTGAACTGGCTAAATTTCTTCAAGATACTATTGAAGAGATAGCCTTAAAGAATAAAGCTTCCAAAGGGAATGCAACTAAAGACTTTGCTGCCTTCTTTCAAAAGGTAAACTGTTTAATTTGTTTTACTTATATTATCATTTAGCTTTTTGCCTTGCCTTTTCCACACTATAAGCTGTTAAGTAATGTGTAGCGATCAATATAAAATGTCAGTATTGAAGGCTGAATTAAATAATTTTCAGTGTGCAGGATAAAATTGAAAAATCAGTCACTTTGGCAAACCAAAGACCTGTCTAGACATGGAAGCTCTGTCTTCCCACTAGAAGTAAAGGTGTGTGTAGCTGAACAGACTTCCCTTAGAAAAGAGTTTCAAAGTCTAAACACAGCCATCAGGAAAGGTGCCTTCTCTTTTCCCAACAAATACACTACATATGATGTAACACGTAGAGAAGAAATTTCCCCAAAGTTCATAAAAAACAGACAAATTCAGATCATATAATCACTTGATTATTTTTATCTTTCCCCCATCTTGAACAATATTACTGTACTATTGTTGTTCCTTATTTTATTATATTGCTTTTATGCCATTTTTATTGTTAGCCACCCAGAGTAGACTTGGGCCTAAATGGGCAGGGTATAAATTAAATAAATAAATAAATAAATAAAATCATGAAAAGTACTAGTTGCCCTCTATTTGCATTGTTTATGTCGTCTCTCTCTTTTTTTAATTCTAATTTTTATTCTTTTCAGTGGGTGGGATTATGGGGAAGGGAACGTAGGTTGGGAGGGGGAAGTATGGATAAGGAAATAAAATTCCAGAGACTGAGATGGTACATTTACATCAACTTATACAATTATACTAGAAAGAGAGATAAAAAGAAAAACAGCACATTTTCCAGTATTACTATATTTACTAATCTATCTTTTCCTTAGTGGGACCTTCACATTCTTCTTTAATCAATGTTATCCAGGCTATCTTTCGAGTCTACAGTAATTATGAAATTATTCCCTACATATCCACCAAACATAATAAAAGTCTGCTCCTGTGTTTTACGTTTCCCACACTATTTAAAAACATTTTTATATCTTTTTTTTTTTAAAAAAAAGGTATTGGCATTGTGTACCATCAGTTATTTATATATCATCTATAAAACATCTTATCTATATTTTATTTAATAGTTACTGATATTTGAACATTAATATTCTTCTACCATTTTATACCCATTATATCCTATAGACTTTAACCATTTTATTCATTTAGTCCATTTTTATTGTTGAGGTTTTCTTTCCTCCTCCTGCATCCTCTTGTTTCTATAGTGTGCTTTCCTTTGGAAGTTCTTGCTTGCTCTTCTGCTCTAGTCGAGCTTCTTTCTGTCTCTGATCTTGATGATCCACTTGATTTCTCCTCTTCTAGTTTCTCATCTGCTTTTTTCTCCTATTTTTCCCTGCCCAGTCATTTCTCATTTCTTTTCGTAAAATATTCTGCCTTCACTTTTGACTTAATATAATAACTCTGCTCCTGGAATTCAAAGAGGACACTTTCAGGCACCAACCACTTATACATAATTTAGTTTGTTCTCATGAGGGTTGTCAACTCTGCATATTGTCCTCTTTTCTGTCTTATTTGCCACAGAATCTGTTTCAAGATCTTAATTTCAGTATATTTTCTATTACGTTCCTTGCCTTGTATATTTCTTAGGACTTAATCTCGAAAAATCTTTCTCGTAAATTTAACATGAATTTCCCTGGGGAGATTTTTATTCCTGGTGTATACTGTATTAATTCTTCATGATGTGCCTATATATTTTGTTGAGCATCCTCTTATTGCATCTCCATGAGCAATGCTAAAAAGGTAGTAATCACTTGCACTGTATTGTCTCCTTTTTATTCTGGTACATTCTGGAAACTTACGTATGGCATTGTCTCTTTCCATTTGTAGATTTAACAAGAGTAATTTTATCTTGCTTGTTTTCCCATTTCAGTTCTCCCATCTCTGTATTCAAGGTCTCCAGGCTTGTGTTCTTTTTTATGTCCCATCTATTCTGGCTATTTGTTTTTTTTTTTTCCACCTGTAATTTGATTTTTAATATTAATCATTTTCATCCCTAAATCTTTCATTTGAGCACGTAGCTGAGCCATCACTCCTTATAGTTGCTGTAGCTCTGTTGATAACATCTCTTGAATGCTCTGCTGCCAGTCCTTAATTGACTCTTGCCCAAATATCCCACTGATATTCTGTTCCTGTGGTGATGAGCCTCCTTGGGTTCTCTCTTTTCCACCTTTATGCCTTCTCTTGAGGACTATGTCCAGTTCTGGAAGCTGCACTTTCAGAAGGATGCTGACAAACTGAAACAGATTCAAAGGAGGACAACAGTGATGATCAGGGGACTGGAAACCAAGCCCTGTGAGGAAACACTGAAAGATCTGGGGATGTATAGCCTCAAAGAAAGAAGATTGAGGGGATATATATAATATTTTTATATTTTAAAATTACTTTTGACTCTAGAAAGGATAAAAATACAATACTCAAAGTAAAAAACTGTGGCTATCTTTGGAATAATATTAATTTTTATGTTACTGATTTTTATTCTGTACTTCCAAGATATTTTTATTTATTGATTGATTTGATTTGATTTGATTTGATTTGATTTATATCCCGCCCATCTGGTCTGGTCGACCACTTCCAAGATATAAGCTTGCTCTCTTAAAAGAGAATACAGTAGCATCAGTTTGCCTGCTACTCAGTTCATTCTCTATCAGAAAAGGTGTGGCTTTTCAGAGAGAAAATATGAAAGATATCCAGAAGACTTCCTTGAGCTACAAATGAGTTTATCTGGATTCTACACACACACACACACATACAAACTCTTAATTTGAAGAGAAACTGTTTGCGAGCACAGAACGACTTTGAACTTTCTGGAGCTGCACTGAAGTGTTTTGATGGGAGTCCAGCTAATTCAGAGAGTACAGGGTGGCTGTTCTATTCCATTTCCCTCAGTTTGTTTTCATCCACCTTTGACTGCAAATTTCTTGGAACCTCTTTCCTCTTCCTTCTTCTTCCTCTGAGCAGTCCTGCAAAGCAGTTCATCATTTTGTACATATTTTGCATACACTTCCTTATCTTTTTTTAAAACAAAAGATGACAAAAAATTATTGTCAAGAGGACCTCCCCTTCCCCCTGTGGCCTCATGCTAGCCATTTGATCAATGGTGCCTGGCACTGCAACCCTTCAAGAAGTGTGCATGTGCCCAACTAAATAGTTTCTCTCAAATGGCTGCTCTAAATGCTTGATGTGCCTGGGAGATACACACAGCACTCAGACCTGCAAGAGTTGCAGAGTCTTCACATCACAAGAGAGGAAAAATCAGGAATCTGGACTTCGTAAAATACTATGAGACAAAACAGTTCTGGCTTCTGACTCCCTCATTCAGTACCCACCCAAAGGCCATCTGGATCAAATCAAGAGATCCATACCACTGGCCATGGTTTCAAGGTAAGGGTCAACATTACCCCAAATTACTTTGACTGTCTCAGTACCAATACCCACCACTCCATCCATCTCTGTCCTCTTCCACACCTCTACTAAAGAGGAAAGCATCTACTTTGGACCATGAGTCCAAACATAAGAAGAGGAAACACAAGGAGCAAAAAGCCAAGGATCTATTTCTGCTTGCCTCCAGCACAAAAGTCAACTTCCATACCGAGGGATCTAGTCAGTGAACCAGCCCGATCCCCGACACCAATCTCAGATCCTTCTCCCATCTCTGACTACCAGACTTCATGGTGGCCCAGCTTCCATCCGGGCTGGCATCCCCACCAGTTGGCCACCAGCTCCACTCTGAGGGACAGATAGTGCTCTGTGTAGCAGAAGTGATTTCACCAGTTACAGAAGATTGATGCAAATTAAAGAGTTCCTTTTTATTATTATTATTTTGGGGTAGGCCTCACTCATGGACAGTGAGACAAAGTTGCATACTGCCTGAATGAAAAACTAAGCTATTTGGTTAGTAGCAATCTGCTGCTGCTTGTGATATCATTCCTGCTGCACAGGTGGAGCTCTGCGCCTGCAAGTTTTCAAACCTCTTTTGGACAGTGAGTGGTTTGAAACTTGCAGGCGATATAAGTGCTATAGACCTACTTTAAAAAGAAAGAAAGAAATGTGGAGCTTTGTCTTAACACAAGTAACATATATTCTTGAAGGCTTTCACGGCCAGGATCTAATGGTTGTTGTGGGTTTTTCGGGCTCTTTGGCCGTGTTCTGAAGGTTGTTCTTCCTAATGTTTCACCAGTCTCTGTGGCCAGCATCTTCAGAGGACAGCACTCTGTACTCTACTCAGCCACAAGGACAGGGGATCACTACACACAAATGACCAGCTAATGACACCCATCAACCACAGGAACAGATAATCTCCTTAGCACAACAATACATCCACAACAATACACACTAATCACCCATCTGCAGAAAAAGACAAAGACCTATCTGACAGCCATAAATACTGCACTTCCAAAGCCAACTGCACCAGAACACAGAGTGCTGTCCTCTGAAGATTCCGGCCACAGAGACTGGCAAAACGTTAGGAAGAACAACCTTCAAACCACGGCCAAAGAGCCCGAAAAACCCAGAAGAACCACAAGTAACATAGTATAGAATCCCACATTCTGATATTTATCTGTTTTTCTGTAATTAAGTAGAGAGAGAATGATATGCCTTTTAAAACAATTTCTATATTTTCAGATCCGTGAAACTGGAGAAAGACCAAGCAATGAAGAAATTTTACGCTTCTCAAAGCTATTTGAGGATGAACTAACCCTTGATAATCTCACAAGACCCCAACTGGTTGCTCTCTGCAAACTGCTGGAACTTCAGTCAATTGGGACAAATAACTTCCTTCGTTTTCAGCTGACAATGAAGTTGAGATCTATCAAAGCAGATGATAAAGTAGGAAATTTTCTTTCTCTATGAATGTTCCATTTGCTTCTGTTGTCTCAAATAAGCCTTTTAATTATATGAATGCATGTTCAAGGAAAGCTACTGCTCTCAAACTGTTCATCAAGGAGAAGCTTTATGAAATTATGAGGTGAGAGAAATAACAACAGCAACAATTGCTTTGGCTAGTCATTTGCCTCTCGTAGTTGTAGAGCTGAAGATGGGCAGCCGCGAGACTCTGGGCCACTGAGAGGTTGTAGTGTGTACTGGGAAGACCAGCACTGTAAAAGGAAGACCAACCTGCACTACACACTAAAGTGCAACTACTCCATTGTTTGCTTGCCTAGTTTCTGGTTCTGATGGTCTTATAGCTTTCAGGGCCTTAGGGTTTGACAGAGAATGGACACAAAAATCTTCCAGATTCCCTCTTTGGTCATTTATAATTTTATAAATCTTTATCCTGTATTTTCTTCTTCTGTCCTTCCCCAGTTATTTTTCTTCTGTAATTAAAAGCATGCTCCATCTCAAAATTGGTGTGGTAAAAAAATATATCTGGCTTTGACCCTTTTTGAGACCATAAGGAATAATGTTATCTCCCCCCTCCCAGTTAACTAAAAATACAATTAAGAACTGGATGTCCAGTAATTTTTCTATTGGAGGCAGCATTTTCATTCATTTCTAGGCCTGACATAGTCTTTAGTGGGGCTGAGGTAAAGAACTTGGACCTCAGGTATAACAAAGCTGCCCACCTCCATTTTGAATAAAAATGCTAGGGTTTGCATTGATGATGTTATAAATATGATCTGCCACTGCTCTCTAGCCTCTTAGGATGATTGATTCCTTCCTGAGCTTGTAGACTTCAACTACCAGCCTTTCAGCCAGCCAACCTCCAAAACTCACCAGCTGCTGTCACCTTGATAATTCCCAAAGAGAGTGGAACCTACCTAAATACTACCTGAACTGAATTCAAAGAAGTAGTTATGCTAAGTCTTTCTTGGTGCATTGTCAATATCAAAGGGAAGGGGGTCAAGGGAAAATAAGACAACACTTTAAAGACTATCGAATTTGTTTCCATGGGAGTATTTGTGACACAAATTCCACTTTTTAGACATATCAGTACTTGTACTATGCAAATGGCATACGTACGATATTTGCTACGATTACTGTATAGTAGGGGTACTCAGTATGTCTGAGGAAGTGGCTATTAAGCCATGAAAACTTGCACTGAAATACATTTGATAGTCTTTAAAGTGCCACAATACTTTCACCTTGTCCCTCCCCTTTTCTCCTTTAATTTTGCTAAATTATGTGAACGTACATGAGGAAAGCAGCTCCCTCATGAGGAAGATAGCAGGTCATGGAAGAATGCCTTCTAAATTGTATCTACTAAATAATCATTAAAGTAACCAAGAAAAGATAAACTATTTTAAATGGAGGAATAATGAAAGAGTAGCATAGAAACAATTTTCCATTCCTAGTTTACTATATGAAGAATCTATTTTATTTTCTTGTATTTTGTTTATCAGAACAGTTCCTTGTATTGTACTTTTAGATAAATACTTTTCTTCACAGTAAATGGTTTAAATGTTAATCTTTTATCATGTCTAGCTGATTGCAGAGGAAGGTGTGGATAGCCTGACAGTCAAAGAACTACAAGCAGCATGTCGAGCAAGAGGTATGAGAGCACTTGGTGTAACCGAAGAACGTTTGAAGGATCAGCTTAAGCAGGTACTTGTCAACTAGGGTTCTCTTGGGATTTGAAAGAGCTAGCCATGTTCGCCATTTTTAGTGCGTATAACAAAAATAGGACAAAAATGCAGAAGTCTCGTAGCACTTTAAAAACTGACATATCTGTTTAACTGCTGAGTCTTCATGGATTACAATCCACTTTCTTAGACCAAAGGAGAATAATAAATAGTCCACAGATTTATATACACAGCATACAAGATGGTGGACCAAGTAGAATGGGGAAAAGATGGTGCCAGTAGTGTTGGAAATGATCCTTCAAAATGATAGTGGAACGTTTAACAGTAGTAACAGACATACAGAACACGTGTAATCAATAGTTTGAACATCCATTTCTCGTGTTAAGAATGCTGTTGCGAAGACCAGCTGATGGGCCCACAACTTATCCTGTTCGTTTGGTATCAGAAGGGACGTGGTGGCGTTGCGGGTTAAACCACAGAAGCCTTTGCTGCAAGGTCAGAAGACCAGCAGTCGTAAGATAGAATCCACACGATGGAGTGAGCTCCTGTCGCTTGTCCCAGCTCCCGCCAACCTAGCGGTTCGAAAGCATGCAAAATGTGACTAGATAAATAGGTACCACCATAGCGGGAAGGTAACGGCTTTCCGTGTCTAGTTGCGCTGGCCACGTGACCACGGAAGATTGTCTTCGGACAAAACACTGGCTCTATGGCTTGGAAACGGGGATGAGCATCGCCCCCTAGAGTTGGACATGACTGGACTAAATGTCAAGGGGAACCTTTACCTTGGTATCAAAAGTAACACATTTTTGATATGTGCACTGTTAAACACCAGAAGGGCATCAAGCCTCTTCCAAGCCAACAACAGTGCCCAGTAACATTGTTCAGTGGTCTCCTGTCTTTGATGACCTAAATTCAGGAGTCTCTTAGGGCTCTGATAGGAAGCTCACTTTTATTATTACTGCAAGTCTGGAAAAAAATATTTTGGGCAAATCATTCTGCAAACAATGATTAAGAATTCTCCCAAATACTGCCAATAACTCCTTTCCATCTCTCTGCTCAAGTAAACTATACAAACACAACAGAACTGTGAAGGCCATCATTTACCATTGGTACAAAACGTTATCTAGGGCCTAACAAAAGTTGAGTTCTGTCTCATGGAACCATTACCAGTTATGCACACATATTGAAAACACACAGCAGTGCCACTCAGAAACTTGTGTACATGAAACAATTTGCAATTTCATTTTTTGATATACACAGCCTTTACAGAAGAAAGCAGACATGTTGCCATGAGGCAAGTTATCATTCCTTCAAATACATTTCCTAGATTTCTAATGACTGAATATCTGAATTTGTGCGTCCCAGATTAACAGCCGTATTCTTAAAATTACTATCTCTCCTTTACTGACAGAAGGTATGTTGGTAAAAATAATGAGGGGGTAGGGGAGACACGAAATATGACATTTTAAATACCAACATTTTTTCCAGTATGATGAGTTTTTATGCCTGCTTTTTCAGACATAAGAAGTGCAAACACATCTAAAGCAGTTGATTTGATCCATGAAAACTCTCACTGAAATTAATCAGTGCCTTTATATTTTCCAACACTCTAAGACAAACTTTGAAAACTGAAGACCATATTTTATAATCTCTCAACTTATTCTCCTGCTCTCAGACACTTTGTGAAGGGCACCTTTAATCAGATGTTTCTTATTATTTAGTGCTTAGTGGAACTACTTAGTTAAATTTACATTATTCTGTCCAAGTTACATTTTCAGTAACTGTGTTTTTTTAGTAGAAGTGTGTGCCATTATTACACTTTGTTTTACCTTTCTTTACAGTGGTTGGACTTGCATCTGAGTCAGGAAATCCCAACTTCACTGCTTATTTTATCCAGAGCCATGTACCTTCCAGATACTCTTTCACCAGCTGACCAGCTCAAAACAACCTTGCAAATACTACCTGAAAGTGTGGTATGTTATGCTAAACTTTGTGAAGGACACTTACATTTTGTATTTAGGTTTTCTCCTGTTATAGGTGTATTTGCTGTTCTTTGTAGTGGTCTCTGAATGCACACAAATGGGTTAATCCTGCACCTTTGAAAGAGATTCTTAATTTCTATAGAGTATCCAGCTAGCTTCTAATAGCATCTGTCATACAAGAATTTAACTTATCTTTTTTTCCCAGTTTTTACCTAACTTCATTTGAACAAATTTTTACATATCAGATTGCTGCACATGGAAGCAGGGCTAGTAGAAAAGTGACAACATATCTTCTATATAGATACATAAGCAAGACTTCATTTAGTTAGCCAGCTAGAACAGAAACTGTTATTTATAAAAACAGAAGAATGAAATAGTGCCTTGTTATTTTTATCATACTGTACAGGTCATCTGTCTTTCAGGACAAATGCCTGCTGATACTTGGGCAAGGAGAAGTAGGAAAGGGTGATATTTAGCTTGTTACCGCTGACAAGTTTTATTTCACTTTTGCAGCCTGAAATTGATGAACCCTTAGGCCAGATAAAACATGCTCATGTTTAAAGTGCCACACGATTTTCATGTTGGAATTAAAATGTTGTTTTGCTACTTAGTAAAAAATTATGCAGGTGGTAAAATTACAGGAATACATGTTCTGTAAATAGATGGAACCTCCATTTTTATAGTTAATATACCTGTGAATTCCAGTTGCTAGGGTAAAATGGTTTTAATTAGACTGGGGAACCCAATAGTTGCTGTTGGACTGGCCCATTGGCTATGTTAGATGGGGCTGTTGGGATTTCGAATCAAAAAACATATGGAAAGTCATCATTTTCTCATATCTAGTCTATTGTCCTACTTGGTGGGCATCCAAGAAACATCTCGTTAGCAGCTGTTGGTAATGAGCGGCCAGATTAGATGTTTGAGTCGTGTTTCTTGACAGAACATCTCTCTGATTATGAGCATGCTCTTACCTGAGAGCAGAATCACAGACCCTCCCTCTTAGTATTCTCTCCTAGAGAGGTTCAGGGGGTGATGAAAAGGGAGAGAGTGTCTTCAGTTATGACCCTCTACCTATGAAAGGCTCTCCTGGTGAGGCAGTCTAATCCACATAATGTAATCTTTTATGTGGCAGTTTAACATGTTTCTCTGCTCCTCAGCATAGAATGGAATGCTCTTAGGCAGTTTTTAAATATTGACAATCAAAACACTGTTCTTATGTTGGAAATAATAATCATGTGCCTTATGGCCCTCTTTTTCAAGGTTTTCTAGGTAGAGAATACGCAGAGGTGGTTTACCGTTCCCTTCTTCGTTGTGGGTGGGTGGGTGTGAACTGGTATTGTGCAGCTTGCCCAAGGCCACATAGGCCTGCTCTACTTTCAGGTGACACAGTGGGGAATCCAATTCCAACCTCTGGCTTCTCAGCCAGATACTTGAACCACTGAGTTATCCAGCCAGCTCCCATTTTTATGTTGCAGACATATTTTATTACATAGAATACGCAGAGGTGGTTTACCATTCCCTTCTTCGTCGTGGGTGGGTGGGTGTGAACTGGTATTGTGCAGCTTGCCCAAGGCCACATAGGCCTGCTCTACTTTCAGGTGACACAGTGGGGAATCCAACTCCAACCTCTGGCTTCTCAGCCAGATACTTGAACCACTGAGTTATCCAGCCAGCTCCCATTTTTATGTTGCAGACATATTTTATTACATACCCTTCATCATATTTATGTATTTGAATTATGAGATGCCGGCTAGTTTGAGAAAATAAATGAGTAATGTATTATGTGAAAGAATGGCATTGGATTAATTAAAATGGATTAATTAGAAATTTCGTGTAACCTAGGATTAGACATGGACTGGTTCATCTCCCAGTGTAGTGCTCCATTTTAGTGCTTATAGCACACGTGTAAATGTTAAAATATTATTGGCATGTTTTTATTTATTTATTTAAGGCCAAAGAAGCTCAGGTGAAAGCAGGAGAAGTGGAAGGAGAAAAAGTTGATAATAAAACTAGACTGGAAGCAACTCTTCAGGAAGAAGAAGCTATTAAGAAAGAAAATCAAGAAAAAGAGTTGGAAAGGCTTTCAGAAGCAGCAGAAAAAGCTAAAGAAACCCTTCAAGAAGCTGAGAGGGTAAGCACTGCAAAAGGCATTGGTATTGGTTGTGTCTTACTTGCGTGTTTTTGTTTTTTCATTTCAGCAATCTTGTATACATTTTTCCATGTGACAGAACGAACAGGAGCAATGTCATAATGATGGAACAGCTTCTACCTTTCTGTGGTTTTCATTATGGGCATCTTCTAAATGGACAAACCCTGCACGGAAAATTCTAGCAATTAATACTTGATGGTTAAATTGCAAAAGGGGATGGGGCAGTATTCATGTGCTAGGGATTTTTGTTTGTTGGTGCTGCTACTTTTAGCTCTTTTAGACAAATATGCTTATATCGGTGGCATTGTAATTTATTGGATCAGAAGGATTCATGGGCAAAATTCTGTTACACAAATTTACATCAGCATAAACTTGATCCATCACTAGAAATATTTAATTGAAATTAATTGAAAGTTTCCAATCCCTCCCTCTTGCCTTTGAGCTCCGAATGCTCCCTAGGGCTCCCGTTTCATTTGGGGAAGCATTTGGGAGCTTTTGAAACTGTGGGGGAGCCTTTAATAATCAAACATCGCTGGTGGAGTTCCCTATCCCAGCGGTGATTTTTTCATTGTTAAAAGCCCTCCTCTATCCCAAGATTCCAAATGCTTCTCTAGGACAAAAGAGAGCCCCAGGGAGCCTTGGAAGCTCAAAGAACGGATAGGAAGTTTTCAGGTCATTTAAATTAAGCATTACTGGTGCTGAAGAGAGCCCCAGGGAGCCTTGGAAGCTCAGAGAGCAGATAGGAAGTTTTCAAATCATTTACATTAAGCATTACTGATGCTGGATCCAGTTAACACTGGCATAACTTTATGCAAAAAGGATTTTGCCCATTGTTTGGCTTTCTCTAAAAAAATGAGACTATGAAAGAGGAGACAGCCTGACCATTGCCCAAAGGGGTGCTCTGTGTTACTTCCTAGACAACTTCTCCCATTTCCTAAAAAGAACTTTTCCATTTTTTCTGTCACTTTCCAGTGGGGAGAAAAATGTCCAATACAGCAGCCAGAAATTCTTCCTTTCAGTGAGAGCATGAGATGGAACTGACAGGATTGTGCCTGAAATTTCAGAAATTCAGCTGAGGTTCATACTTTGAAATGTAATAGATTACCGTGTTTTTTTTTTCTGTCTTGGTTGCAGCAACTGGTGGAACCTACAGTAAATCTTGTTTCTTCAGCTGCACATATGAAGAAAAGCCAAATAGCTGTAGGTACAGAGCAAGAACCAGCAAAGGTGGATTTAAGCCAGCATTCTGAGATTCTGAAAGATACGGCACCAATATTGGAAGGCATTAAGGTGAATGGTGGTGCTACCAAAGCACAGTTTCTGCAAAGGACAGTAGAATATATCATGTATACTTTAAGTCTAAATTAGCCATCTTTCACAAAAAAACAACAGTCAGAAACTGGCACTTGCAGTGTTGTGTTGTTTGTTTGTTGTTGTTTTGCATTTGGTCATATTGGGAAGGCACCAGTATATTGTACTGACAGCAGGAATCAGCACTCTGTAAACCAACTCAAAAAATAGTGGTGCCTCAAACAAAAAATTATAATTGTGAATCTGGATCAGCACCAAATATGCATGAATGTAGCAGAAAGACTGCTTTGGCTCTGTGTCAGATTTGGGGATGTTTGGGCAAAGGGTTATCAAGTTATGATTTTTTTTTAAGTAACACTGTTTTACCCTATGTAGAACCAGGCAGCCTTGGGAAAAATTATTAGTTCCAGCCACTTTTTTTGTTTTGAGGGAATTAAGGCATTAATGGCTCTAATTCACACTTTGAAAATAGTGATCTTAAAACAAAATAAACTATGAGTTTATGGACTTCCTTATAAATTTGCAACATTCTAAATGGACTGAAATTTTGAACCTACCTCTCAGAACCCCATCCAATGGCTGAATCATTTTAACCTCTTACTGGATAAACCTTTAACTCCTTCCTGTGAAAATATTTTAAAAAGTATTTTTTTAAAGTACAGAATAATATTCAAAAGCTGACTTATTTAAACTGAAAATACTGGTGTGTGTTTTTTCTTTTCTTTTTTCTTTGTGGCTGGGGATGATATCAAAGTACGTTTGCCAAGTTTACTTATAAATTTACCTGGTTTACTATCTAATATGTTTACCTAGTTTACTCATGAGTAGGTTTACCCAGTTTACTCATGAGTTTTTGTGTCCTCATGTTCTTTTCTAAATCTTGTTCAGCATGGAAATAATTCTGGCTCCCTTTTTATGCTCTCTGATAAATATAGAAAAACTATGTACTGGACTGGTGCATTTGAGACATTCTTCCATGGATCTCTCAAGATAATTGCATATTTTACAGGTAGAACTTAAGTCACTTCTGCTCTGTTTCCCCCAAAAATAAGCCCTAGTTAAGTGAAACCCCGCCCTCCACCATTGTGCAGCAACCAGAAGAAGATGATATGACTAGATGTGAATGTAGATTTTTGTACATGAAAAAATAGAACATCCCCTGAAAATAAGCCCTAATGTGTTTTTTGGAGAAAAAATTAATATAAGACCCTGTCTCATTTTCGGGGAAACATGGTACTAAGACAAGACATTTAAATCCAAGGTATGATATGCAGGTATCTTGCATACTCATGATGAATGTGTTGAACAATATACTGATTTTAAACTCTGTAAAATTCATTGGATGACTCCTATATAAGACAGATCCTTATTATTGGAGAGTTTTGGATTTCCCATGGAACTCTATCTACAATTTAGTTTTAAAGGTTATACAGTAAGATGTTGAAAACTTCTGATGGAATTAAAACGTCGTCTTAACGAGACACTCTCCGTAACAGTTTTCTGTTTGTTCTAGGGTGAAGAAATAACCAAAGAAGAGATTGACTTACTAAGTGATGTCTGTAATAAACTGAAAGACCAAAAGAAATCCCTAACAAAAGAAAAGGAGGAACTGGAGGAACTCAAGGATGATGTGCAGGAATATAGTGAGGTAAGAAGAGTCTGAAGAGTTACATGACATGAATGTTGACCTTTACTGAAAGAAGAAAACTAGTGCTAGCATGAAACATACTACTTTATACAAGAGGAGTTGTCAAGGTCTCTTTTTACTCTCCCTCTGACAGAGAGGAAACAAATGACTGCTATGTAAGTGGCTGTTTCTCAGCTGAGGCCTATCTGTTAACTGCCAGCTTTTGTCTGTATCTTGCTTTTGCCCTGAACATTCTCACAAGCTATTCCTAGCTTACTTACAGTTTATTACGCAGTAAGACACAGATTAGCCAAAGTGCATGCTCACAGTGCATACTTTAGCACCTCCGCTGCCCTTTCTGCCATAGCTTACGTCATTTGTGAGGATCCCTTGAATCCTCCAGAAGCTTTTTAGTAAGCGTCTTTGAAAAAAGAAGGAGTAGTAAAAAAGAAGGAGTAGGAGCCTTGTGGCACAGTGGTTAAACTGCTGGCTTGCAGTCAAAACTGTTCATGATCCAGGGTTCTATCCTGGGTAGCTGCCTCAAGGTCGATTCAACCTTCTATCCTTCCAAGACCTGTAAAATGAGTACCCAGTTTGCTGGGGCGGGGGGGGGCAATGTGTAGCCTGCGTAATTAATTTGTAAACCGTCCAGAGAGTGCTTTAAGCTCTATGGGGCGGTATATAAGCAGTACATTTTGCTTTTTACTCTCTTGCTCTGCATTTTTGGATGGCCTACAAACTTACCTTTACGAAGTATTTCTTTTTAACCCTTAGGATTTGCAAGAGATCAAGGAGTTGTCTAATACTGGACAGGAGGAAATAGTTGAAGAATCAAAAGCAAGCAAGCAACTGGTTAAAAAAGTGAACAGAATGATTGGACAGATTGACAAAATTATTCAAGAGTTAGAGACAGACCAGAAAGTGGTGGATGGACAGAGAGACACTGGTGCTAGTCCTCCCATAGGGTGAGTAACAGAGGAAATGAAATCCTTTTGTAGATATGGTAGATCTGAGAACTTTAGAGTAAAACAAGAAATCAACACTGTATACTTTTTGCATAATAGTCCTGCTGTAAAAGATGCTGAGGGTGTTGAGAGAGGTTGCTCAGCCTTACTTTTTCACTGACAAGCTATTTTTTTCTGAAGAGCAAAGAACAGTTATATACAGTGGTGCCTCACTTGACGAGGATAATTTGTTCCATTCAAATCACTGTTAAGCGAAATCCTCGTCAAGTGAAATTAAAAAACCCATTGAAATGCATTGAAAACCGGTTCAATGCGTTCCAATGGGCTAAATACCTCAGCATCCAGTGAAAATCCTCCATAGGGCAGCCATTTTCCGGTGCCTGTAAAGCAAGGAGTCTCGTGCGCAGTGGTTAAAACTCTGTACTGCAGCTAAAACTGTGCTCACGACCTGGGGTTCAAATCCCAGGTAGCCGGCTCAAGGTTGACTCAGCCTTCCATCCTTCCGAGGCCGGTAAAATGAGTACCCAGCTTGCTGGGGGGGCAATGTGTAGCCTGTATAATTAAAATTGTAAACTTTGGGGCGGTATATAAGTCAAATAAATAAATAAATAAATAAATAAAGAGTCCATCCTAAAGCACAGCGGGGAACCATTTTACAGCGGGCAGCCATTTTAGAGCTGCCGATCAGCTGTTTTAAAATCATCGTCTAGCGAAAAATTGGTTCCCGAAGCAGGGAACCGATCATCGTTAAGCGAATTTTCCCCATAGGAACATTGTTTTGCGCTCGCAAAAACTTCATCGTAAAGCGGTTTCAGCATTTAACGAGGTAATCGTTAAGCGAGGCGCCACTGTACGCAGTTTCACACTGCTGCGTTCTAACTGAGCCATAGTCTTGGGAAGCCAGTCTGAACATGTTGAGTGCTGTCGTAAAGGTTTTGTTGTAGCGTGTCTTGTTTTCTTTTTCAGTTTCCTCCCAATTTTTTTTAACAGAATTCAGCTATGTGTTGAGTGGTAGTTGTAAGATTTTTTTTTCAATGCTTTGTAGCAACTGCTTGCTATATGCAGGTTATGTTTCCCATTTAGAGAGAATCTCATCAGTATCAATGAGCTTATTAGTGTGATGAAGGAAATTCAGAAGATACCAGAAAGCAAACTGAACAAGCTTGCAGAAGCACTGGATGAAAATAAAGATGGAAAAATAGATATAGATGATGTCATGAAGGTGAGTCTGATGAAGAGCATAATGTAGTTTGTTTTAATATGCAAGCAGTGTACCCTCTAATTTTCAGCCCTACTGGGTGGGTCTCTGCCTCTCTCACGTGACTCCACCCCTGCATGCACGCACAACTCTGACCCCCATCGCAACCAGAACCTAACAATTGCTGTATGGAGGAGGAAGACAGCTGTGCAAAGGGTAGCGGAGTCATGCGTGTGTGCGTGTGTATCTTAGCAGGAACCTTTTGTGCAAGGCATTTTAATGTTTTTTATTTAAAATATTACTGTTTTATCATTCATTCTAATAATGCTATGATTTTGTAAATCTGTTTTTTTCATGCCAGTAATTCACTTGTTTGTTTGTCAACTCTTGTCTTCACATTTTAATTTAAAAGACTTGGATAGTTAGATGGGTTAATTGTAAAAAGGTCACAAAATGAAATTTGTGGGACCCTCCTGAATAAGGGGGGGCTGTTGGGAATGGGAAGAAGAGAGAGCACAAAGCTTTCTTCCATGAGGTCTGCTAGGTTATCTTAAAATAAGTCCATACTTTCAGGAAGTAGACACATAATGGTGATAAATTTCTCAATTTTTCTATCAGAATTTTTATAATAAAAGTGAAATGTCTTCTGTTTCTTTAGGCAAATGCAGCAGTATTTGAGTGGTCTTTTTTCCATGTTCTATAAAGCACCACATACTCTGGCCAAGCTATATAAATGATAGTAGTAATAAACAAAAGATGTTTTTATACAAATGTTCACATATTTATAATATGTTTGTGTTTTGTTGCTGTTTACAGTGGGTCTTTTTATTCTTTCATTTTCACACCTTGATTTGGAGACAGATCTTGTGCTGCTTTGTTCAGTAAGCTAGAGTGGGGCTCATCTGAGCTGTTGGTGGTGCAGAATATAGAGCTGGCAACAAATAACAGCATGAGATTTGAAAATGTAATTTTTGGAGGTAGAGAAAAGGTGGAGTCCATAGACTAGAATCTTGGATCAGCTTTTTTTCCTTCAGTTTGTATGATTTTATTCATGTGACAATAACTAAGAGTACATAGAGCTTTTCAGTCCATAATCATAATTTGGGCAGAGCTAGGAAAAACCACCCTTGGACTATTAAGTCCCAGTGATCAGCTTTAATTATCTATGGCTGAAACAAACCAAAATATTGTGGTAAGGGGATTTTCAAGGATTATCTAGTACTACTTAAATGCACTTTATGCAGGGTGCCTTTAAAACTGTTGTGATATATATATTTGAGCAGCTTAAACTATGAAGGATAAATTGGGTTAATGGGTTTCATGCTGCTGTGGATAGATTTGATTAATGAAGTAAAGATTTAGGATGTACAACTCTTAGTACATAGATTGGAGGCAGCCTGCTTCTCTACTACATTAATTGTAATATAAATCACATTTTGTTCAATCCCACTGTTTCATTATCTGTTATGTGCCACCAAGATACTTCTGAATTATGACAACTGAATGAATGACCTCCAAAATTTCCTAGCAGCATTTACTCCTGGGAAAAATACTTCTGCTTGTTTAGCCTTTCTTAGCAAATATATTACAAATCATTATGAAACTGGGGGACTGGAGGGCATTCTAAATCAGTTGTTTGCTGAGGCATACGTTTTCTAGTTTCCTTCTTAGTTATAAATTTCAAAATATTTATGAATAGATTAAATAACTACTGTTTGCCATGAATATAACTTATTTTTACATTTGTGTAGGTGATAGAATTGATTGACAAAGAAGATATTGATATTTCTACTAATCAAGTAGCAGAGATTGTGGCACTCTTACAAAAGGAGGAAAAATTGGAAGAAAAAGAGAAGATTAAAGAAAAGGCTGAGAAGGAAGTTCTAGAAGTAAAGAACTAATCTTCAGTCTGATTTTTTGGGCTGATTAAAATAGAACATCTTATATACCTTACCCACCATCTTATGAGATGAGAAACACCAGTGAATTGTTGACAAGTCAGAAATATTCTTGGATCAAACATGGGGATCTTATCATTCCATGATAATGAGGACAGTTTGGGTGTTTTAAGAATTTATTCAATCTATGGAATCACGTGCACTCTTTTGTACCATTATTTAATGTACTTTCATCACCTGATTATAATGCAGTTTAGGAATATACTGTACTTCCATTGAGGAAGGTGTCAGCAGTTTCCTTTCAAACAATACAAACTGTACATGAACTTTTATTTTTCTTTATTTGGCAAAGAAGTAAAAATCTGTATACCAAAGTTCCAGTTAGAGGTGTAATGTCTAAGAGATTTCTAAAATCTCATGTAAAAGTATCAGTCAGGGTTTAAAAAAAGCTTATGCAAAAGATCATATATGTGTTCTGAAAGTCTGTAGTTGCCTTGGAATATAAGGTACACATCCATGTGTCATGATCATATTTTTTAAAAATACAGATCTTTCCCCAGCATTTTCATGATTGTCTTTTACAAATTCTCAGTGGTCAAGAATACACCTACAAAAAGGCATAAAAGGGAATGAAGCATCACCCAACCCCATCAGTTTCTTGTTCTTCTTCACTTCTTTCCACTCTTCTACACTCTCATGTGTGTCTCCCCTCTCCTCCCAGTTTATTCTATCATTGACAGGAAACCCGTATAAGGGTTTCCTGTCAAAACAATTATTTCAAAAGCCACAATAGAAATAGCAGTCCCAGCAGTTGCTGCTATTGTTGGTCCTTTGTTCGTCACCTGTAAGGAGGCCATGCAGAATTTGCAGTTAGAGTGATGTGCTCTATAAACAGTATGGGATGGGGTTGGATGTGCAAATTCCACTAGAATTAGACTTATTGAATCAGCGGGGATTTGGCAAGTCCTCTGCAGGTTTTGTTGATTCATATGTACCTACTCTAATCACTCCACTAAAGCAATTTACAACTGGAATAGGCCCATTTGAATCAATGACACTTATGCAGGAGTTGATTTGCCAAATCTCCACTGATTCAATAGGTCAAACTCTAGTGCAATTTACTAAGCTACGTCAAGATTTAAGCCATGGTGTATAATTCCATGGTTTTCATCTTCGTAGATGAGAATCTGCTAAATCAGTAAACAGAGAGACCATATAAAGCTTAACTCTTTGTTGCCTTTTGAACTATAAGGTTAGTGAATCTCTGATGAAAATAGTAAGTAGAATGCTTTTGTTTTTCATTTAACCTTTTTTGTTAACTTTTTATAGCAGGTAACTATGCTTGTTGTTAACACAGTTCTTGATAACCAACTTGTTAAAATGTATATTTCCAGTGAAAATAAGGGTACTTCCAAATTTATTTCTCAGAAAGTAAACAATGAAAAACTCCAGACTAGTAAGTTTACCTTTCATGTCTTCTACTACTGAACTGCAGTGCCACCACTAATAGACAATGTCAGGCTGTTTTGATGGAATTAAATCTTTTTGTCCATGCATACCCTAGGTTTGTGGGATCCTTAGGTCCTGAAGAAGTCTTTTAGAGCTCTAGAAAAGGCAAGGGAGCTCTAATGCCACCTCTGGTCCCAGCAACAAGACAGGACAAATGGCAGCGATTTTGGAGCATTAAAGAATTCTCTTCCCCCAATTCATCAGCTCCCAAAGCGTTCTCTAGAACAAAAGGAACATTTGGGTGGGGAGCAGGAAGCTTCTAATTGTCCTGAAACAGCTGCAATATTGGCATCATCATACTTGTGCAGCATAACATGCACAACAGAAATCCAGCTGGTAATTTTCCCTTTTCAGAAGTGTAAGAAAATTAGATGGCTTTACTATGTTTCATTATGATAGAAAGATATGCTAAATTTGGAGAAGTTTTTAGATCAGGTTCTTTATTTGCAGCTATATGTTGTGGGCAACTACTCAGTTAATTAACTGTGTGAACTAATGGGGAAAAGTTTATAAGCAGATATGTTGGGAATGTGCAAAGGATGAACTTTTATATTTTTTTCCATAGTACTAGGTTTGTGATACAAAAAGGGCAGAGGCAGAACCATGTTTCAATTAATTTAGTATTAGGTTTTTATGAGATCCGTGGAATCCATACATTATTAAACATTTTTAAAACTGCTAAAAATTTTCCTCCTGAAGAAGGAAATGGATTAAGATTTATTTCTAAGCACAGAATTACAACCTAAATTCTTTTTTTGGTCCCTGTGACTCCCATTTGTGAATCTGCTGTGCAGAACATTTTGGAACCATGTAGAGTTGAGCTAATTATAGAGCATTCCCTCTACAACCACTTTGAAAACATGCAATAATAACTAGAAGCCAACATGGATTTATCACAAAGAAATCCTGCCAGACTAATCTTACCTCCTTTTTTAAAGTAGGTAACCACCCTGGTTAATATGGTGGGAATGTAGTGGACATAAAATACCTTGACTTCAGCAAAGCTTTTTACAAAGAACTCTGTTATATTCTGATTGGCAAGCTAATTGTGGGCTGGATAGAATAACTGTAAGGTGGATCCACAGCTGGTTATAGAGAGTGTTTATTCCCCCCCCCCAGACTGGGAGGAGGTAACAAGTGGGGTACCTCAGGTCTTAGTCCTGGAACAGGTGCTTTTCAACATTTGTATTAAAAATTTGAATGAGAGTTCAGAGAATGCTTGTGAAATTTATGGATGACAAAACTTTGGTGGAATAGGTAAAACCCTGGAAGACAGAAGCAAAATTTAAATAGAACTGGATAGGTTCGAGCACTGGGCTGAAATAAACAGAATGAAATTTAGCAGGGATAAGTGCAAAGTTTGACACCTGGAAAAAGAAACCAGATGCACAGTTGCAAGATGAAGGATACTTGACTCAGGAATACTATTTGTGAGAATTACCTTGGAAGTAGATAATTGTAGATCACGAATATGAGCCAACAATGCGATGCAGCTGCAAAAAAAGAAAAGAAAGGAAAGGCAAGTACTGTTTTAGGATGCATTAACAGAAGTATAGTACTGTATCCAAATCACAAAAAGCACTAGTTCCCCTCTATTTTGCACGGGTTAGGCCTCATCTTGAGTATTGTGTCCAGTTTGGGACACCACACAATTTAAGAGTAGGGCTAAAAGGATTATCAGGGGACTTGAAATCAAACCCTATGAATCCCATACCCTATCCCAAGTTATTAAAAATAAATATTTTTTTAAAAAAAGAAAGACTGAAAGAACTGGGCATGTTTAGTTTGAGAAGACTTCTTACTCTGCCCTACCTCTATATTATTAAAAATAAATATTTTTTTAAAAAAGAAAGACTGGAAGAACTGGGCATGCTTAGTTTGAGAAGACTTACGGGAAGTATAATAATGCTCTTCGTATCCTTGAAAGGTTATCACAGAGGATCTGTTCTCATTCATTCCATAGTGCAAGATATATAATAATGGGTTCAAGTTACAGGAACCCAGATTTTGTTTGAATATCAGTAAAAATGTCCTGAGTGTTGAGAGCAGTATGGCAGCAGAACCAACTGTACTGGACTATTTTGAGTGTTGCAACACTGGTCATGTTCAAAAGAAAGTTAGACATCCATTTGTCAGATATACTTTAATTTGGATTCCTGCATTGAGCAGAGGGTTGGACCTAATGGTCTTATAGACATCTTCCAACGCCATGATTCTATGATTCTATGTCTAAGTGGGTTAAATCAGTTACTTGCGCTGTTGTCCCATTGAAATTAATGAAATTTCATTTAATTGTGTCATTACTTTCAAGTAAGGTAAAGTTGATTCAGTTAATCCAATGAAAATCTGCTGTTCAAAGACCAAGTTCTTCAACTCAGGCTACTAAAAGATGTGGCTCTGAGAACTAGAAAAGAGATTAATCTTTCTTGTCTCAGTGGACTGCATGTTAAAATCTGTTCTCATTCATTCCATAGTGCAAGATATATAATAATGGGTTCAAGTTACAGGAACCCAGATTTTGTTTGAATATCAGTAAAAATGTCCTGAGTGTTGAGAGCAGTATGACAGCAGAACCAACTGTACTGGAATATTTTGAGTGTTGCAACACTGGTCATGTTCAAAAGAAAGTTAGACATCCATTTGTCAGATATACTTTAATTTGGATTCCTGCATTGAGCAGAGGGTTGGACCTAATGGTCTTATAGACATCTTCCAACGCCATTATTCTATGATTCTATGACTAAGTGGGTTAAATCAGTTACTTGTGCTGTTGTCCCATTGAAATTAATGAAATTTCATTTAATTGTGTCATTACTTTCAAGTAAGGTAAAGTTGATTCAGTTAATCCAATGAAAATCTGCTGTTCAAAGACCAAGTTCTTCAACTCAGGCTACTAAAAGATGTGGCTCTGAGAACTTGAGAAGAGATTAATCTTTCTTGTCCCAGTGGACCGCATGTTAAAATGAGTAAACTCTTCTGTTTTCCAAGCCTTGAAATTCCCCTTTTTTCTCAGAGAAGTTCATACATAATGTCCAGGTGTCATCTTCTGTGTCTTCACATCAGATTGGTACACTGTAAAAAGCCTTTTTGGTGACTCTTCAAGTTGATTCCCTTATTTTTTGTGGTGCGGTTAGCTCTTTGGTCAGGTCAGAAGGGTTTGTGTTTGGTCCTTTGAAATAATTTGAAGGCTGAGGCCGCATTTCTAAATGTTACAAGAGAGTGTATACTTATCACAAAATGTGCAGAGAACTGGCCCTAAGGAAGCGCCAGCTTGGTCTTCCTTTCTAATGTGGACTGGTTTTCAGCATTTCTGCCTTCAGGGAACCTGTTCCTAAAATAACTGATTGATCAAGGATTGCAGCATCTATCTTGTGAGAATTACCTTGGAAGTAGATAATTGTAGATCACGAATATGAGCCAACAATGCGATGCAGCTGCAAAAAAAGACCCTAACTCTATTGGCTTTATTGTAGTCCTGCACATAATGGTGTCCCATTGAGGGCTCTGGAATGTGCCCGTTACCTATTGCAGGAGAAGGCCATTAGCAGTGGGCAGGTTGTCTTACCAGCGGAGTCTCTGTGTCTGTCCATGGGAAACATTTATTTTAAAGCTTCAGTATTGGCAAGGGAATATACATTTCACATGTCATATGTATATTCTAGTGGAGGTAAAGATTATGCTGGTCTTACTTAGAAGTATATTGCACTCCATTCAGTGATCGCAGGGACCCCCCTCCCCTCGATATCCTTAGAAAGACTGTGCTGATGTCTGTAAGCCACAGCCTGTAATTGAGATAGTTTGTTTTCAACAAAGTGCTATTCAGGAAATGAATGTATATTGACAAATAGGTTGGCAAGGCACCATGCTAACAAAAAAACATCACAGGAAACTTAGACATTTAAATTTCACCTGACTGTGAGACAGGATCATGTTTCTTTTTCCTAAAACAATATTTTATCTGGAATGGAAAACAACATTTCTTCCAGTGTTGTGCATGATATGTATTTATTTAAATGTAAATATGCTATACATAGTCATGTTTCAATGTGTGTAGAATTCTTTTTAACATTTTAAGTTTAAATTCTTACCTAAAACTCCAAATTGTTAAATAAAACAAATTTATTCCACATACTTTTAAATTTTAAAATATTTATGAACAAGGACTTGTTTATTAAAAAAATATGATGATACTACTTCATCTGAATGTACACCAAAAGCAAACTGGTAAATGCTCTTTTTTGGTCTTTTGTATACATTTGGATTTACTTTATTTTATTTCTTCCATCTGATTAAATTTATCATTGCTTTAAAAAGTTTCCTTCCTGCATTCTGAACCACTCAGATACTGACCTGTGAGCACAAGCGTACATAGTTTCGTGTAACTGTTTTTTCCATCTTTAGGATGAACTGCATTGAGCTTTGGAAGGGCACTATGTAATGGTTTGAATGACTAAGTTAAAAAATTAATCACATATATTTAAATATGTGGTGTTCCTGAGCAAGGCCAATCCCACAGAAGCAAAAGCGCCTCTTTCAGGGTAGTTTCTCTCTTAATATATAACATTTTTCTTTAAGGACATAATTCCAGTTCTGTAACTTTACTGTTAGTTAGATGTGTAAGTCATCACCTCCTGAAAATATAAAGATCTTCTTGGACCAAGTTATCTTGGTAATTCTTAGTAACTTTTTTTACTGTTTCATGGGTTGTACCTACAGCATTTAGGCTAACAGAGAAGACACGGCTGTCTTTCTGAGATGGGGTGAAGGGCCAAGCATATGCTAGGCAATAGCTTATGATCAACTTTCAAATTTTAAAAAAAAGTATTGTGTTTTGAAATCTTTCATAAAACTGCATGTTGAAGTAGTTGTGCTGTAACTTGCAGAATCCATGGAAACGAAGCCACATGGTAGCTGAAACCGAAAGAACAAAGAGAAGATGCAAAGCTAGCTGCCACACTGTATGTTTAAGCCTTCTCCCTTGAGAGGCTGTCTTCTCCTCACATTTTTAGGGATGCCTTTTGCAACAGTGAGCTATTTCTTCCTGCAG